GGTTTGCATGTGTAAATTGAAATGCCCACACGGATGCATGCATGTGTAAAAATAGCTCAGGACTATCAACATTAATTACATTTCTTCCAGTACCAGTCTGGAAGGGTAACCTATTTTGCAAGAAGGCTACAGATACTTGGTGTTGTCTGTGTTATATGCACAGCTCTTTCAGCTCTGTATTTTGGATGATACTTCAGTAAACTGAGCTCACAGATTTGGCTAATAATGCAGGTGGTTGGTGGCTGTGGGTTTTGTGTTAATTTGATGGCCACGCCAACCCTGGATTCAGTGATGTGTTGCAGTATTTATTTATGAATAAGGATAGAAAGGATAATAGAGGGAGTGAGCCACATTTAAATTTACAGTTCCACTTACTGAACAATTTATAATGCAGCTGAGATCCTGCTGTTTTGTCTGTCATTATGTGCACAACTACAATGACATTTTATCAGAAAAATTCAGCTTTATGCTCATTGCCATGTGAAGTCTACTGATATGACACACATACAGTCTCACCACCACAGTGGATTGTCCATAAACAACATTTAAACTTTGCAGAATCATGCTTCCTGGGAGTACAATTTCACCATCCATGACCAAGGTAAGAATACGGTTAATACCGCCACAAAAGGGACTCAATCCTTTTGTGTAGCAACAAAATATACAACATTATGTGTGCAACAAACACATGTACTGCAAAATATGTCACCTTCTGAAATGGATTCTGAACGTCATTTAACAGGTGGGAGAAAAGGGCAACAGTAAATTCATTACAATAATGGCTCAAAGGCCTAGAGCACAATGTCTTGGCTGAAAAAAGAAGAAGTCACCATGTCCTGAATTTTTGAAAAAAATCTTAAAAAAAAAAAAAAAGAAAAAGAAAAAAAAAGGTCAGATGTTAAGAGCTTCATATGGTAAATTCCAGTGAAAGAGAATCATGTTGCTGCTCTGCCTCCCTCATGGACAAGATAAGGTACACTAATTTTAGGGCTTTTGTTGCACTGAATGGGTTATATGCAGTAATTTGAAAAGAAACTCAATGATTAAAGCTTTAAATTGATCTGCAAGTGAGTGTCTGAAGATTTCAGAACTGCAATACTCTTCACAATTTGAAAGGCATGAAATCAAAACAGTAAGGAGACAATAAGGGAGTCATAAGCGTCATTCCAAAGCCAGGCTCGATGTCTAAGGATGTGAGTTTACACAAAACCAGAGCTCTAGGTGCTGTCTTCATTTATCCTCCTTTTGTGAAGAGACTATTTGGAAAATCCTTCTGGAGAATACAAATGTACATAATGCTGTTAAAGAAAATGAATGCCTTAAAAAGATTCCCCTTGTACATGTGACGGGTATGAAACCATCAGCAGTCAAAATTTGGAACGGAAGCAATTCCTTACAACTGATTTCTAAGAATTTGAAGTTATTTAGGGTAAAGTTTGTGGGGGAGAGGAACAAACAGATTATGAATGTAATAAAGCCCTTGCATGCACTGATATTTTTTACTGAGCCAGTATTACATAGTACCGATTAGGTTTTGCTTTAAACTATTGTGTAAGACACTGTAGAGCAAAACTAAGTAAAGATTCCAGTCTGGATTTCTTCCAGGACAGTTACAATAGTCAGGGACTTTTTTCCATGCCTTTTGTAGATATAGTTAAGCAGCCTGATTTTTTTCTCTAGGCACAGCTTTAATTTAATTTATAGACTTTTCATGGAAAGTCTTCAACATGATGTAGAAATGAAGACATCTTACTCCTCTAGAGCCCAGATTTCAGTTGGTCACATGTGTTTGCACTGGAGAAGGAAATTATTGTTCTTATACCTGTTTGTGAAATAGCAGCAGCTTGGCAACAGACATAAAAATCACCTGAGCATGCCCTGGCACACCCAAAAGAGCTCCCAAAATCATCACTGTGCTAACACGGCTTGAAAGGAAACATGGATGTTTTTATGAAGTGCCCAAGCATCTATGACAAATTTGTGAGACAATCAAGCAGTCTTTTGTGGCAAACCATGCAAGGAATGGTGTTGCTGTAACAAAACCAAGCAAGAATAAAGTTTCCCCTGTGAGTTCTGGTTAGTAATACGAGTGGACCCAAATTCTGTGCCATGCTGTGTTTGCCTTGGCCCAGCAAATTGCCCTTGAAATGAACTCCCTGCTAACAGAAAGCTTGTGCTACAGCAACTATTCTGCTTACTGCTCTCTGTGATTAGGGATTGCAGCTAGGACAAATGAGAAATGAAGCCATAAGAAAAGGGAATTAAAACTCTGTTTCAGAGCAGGCTTAGTTTAGCATTTCTTTCCTCCTGTACAGTACATATTCCACAGCAATTTTGAAAACAGCATAATTTAAAAGTTAACATTTGCTTAGCTGGTAGCACCAGATAAAAGCCCTCATTTGCAGTGAGCAGGCAAATTTGTTATTGCCCCAGTCAATAGCTATTGACTTGGTACAGCACTTCTGCTTATTACAACCAAATCCTTTTTCTTTTTTGTTCAATAGTCAATGACACTGTAATGGAAGGCACTGCTTACAAACTGATGCAATATCTATCAGCAAGAGCTAGAAGTTAATGACTAATGGTTACACAGAGGAAAGCATGTGCTAAGAACAGCACTACACATCTATTAATCAAATGTACTGCATCTGATGTGCCTTTATAGCTTAGTGGAACTGCAGTGCACATCAGATAAATAGTTTCTGTTGTTATTAATCTAGGTCTTAGCACAAAACACCTGTTGTTCATGCTATCAGTACATAAATAATTTGGCTAGGACAAAGTTTTGTCTGACTTTTAGAGCACACCTTTCAGTAATATAAAATTTGGATTCTGCAATCCTAGACTTAGTACTTTGGCAAGGCAACTGCTCTCCTCCAAGCTGAAGTCGTGTTATTCTCTAAATACCCCAGATGGGGCAGTATAAATGCAAGGCAACACTCTAAAGACAAAATGGGAAGAGCAGAGTACATGTGTCCATGGCTCAGCCTGCTTCAGGCTCCTTCCCTGTGGCAGAGCAGTGCTGCACACCCCTGTCCCTTCAATTTATGTAACTTGCACTTTCTGTGCCTGGGGCTGAACTCTGCTCATAATTCACACAGCCCATTTTCATTTCATAATTATGGCTGCATAATTATTATTAATTTTTTTAATCCTTCCTGACACCAACGTATATTCTTTCAAAGTTCCACCATTTATTTTGTATCTGAGAGATGTGTATTTTTTAGACAACAGTGTGACTATAACAGCAACACCTGCTATTTTTATACTACCTTCAAACAAATATTACAAAACATTAATGAAGTTTGTTGACTCCATGGTGAAAAGCAGAACTGCTACTGATAACATTTTGGCTTATAGTTCTCTATAATCTTTCCTGTAGAACACCTAATACTCTAATATTGGAGCAGAGATTTATCAGTTTGTTTTCTCTTTTCTGAATGCCACCTTGCTTTCTCTCTAGACTGATGATGAGGCATTACAGAAAGAAAACTTACAAATGTGGTAAAGATTAAACAATCATGCCATTGCCAAGGACATCATTATTATACTATTCTCTCTATGCACCATTTAATTAGATGTAAACAATGCTCCTAAACCACAACATTTTGCCTTTTTTAGACAAGACACACCCTACAAGATCCACCATGTGGATCCTAACCAGACCTGTGATACTGATTAATAAACCACCCCTGCTGGTGAAGACTGGTGGAATTTAATTGCTGATATGCACAGTGTGAAGCAAGAGCTAAATTCACTTAAGTTCCTACACATTTACATCCCTTGACAAGATCTCCAGTGCCGCTCAGCCAGCATTTACTTGTGTTCCTGTTTGTTGTCACAGGGCTGTTACTGACAGGAGAGCAGGGGAGAGACTAAGCTCTCTCTTTCCTGCAATGCAATGGGTTTTGTTAGTCTGCTAACCAAACATACCTAAAAAAACCCCAAATTTATCCTTGCAATACTGTGTGAGGAAAGAAAAAGATCATCTTAATTTAGAACCACAGAGAGACAGATTTGAACATGGTCAAGTCATTCCACACACCTACTGAAATTCCATTCCAACAACATGAGGTCAGGAGCTAAACTTTCCTTTTTGTTCTTGATTTTCCAAACATAGCTTTGGATGTTGTAATGAGGTGAAAACAGGAAATATTCATAACATATTTGTTGTGTTTACTGTGATGGTAAGAGGACACTGCATTATACAGACAACACTTCCCTTTAAATGAAAAATAGAAGTTCTGCGAATTAACAAACAACATGGTTTGGTTGAGACAATGATTGATTTTGAAAATAATTTACCATGAGCTTTTTAATTCATTACTGAAAAAGGTGCTATTGAGGAAATTACATGCATGTTAATTAGACTTCTTAATAGTTAAGTGATAACTAGATGTTTCAGCCTTTCAGAAAAGTCCATAACACCACTAAACCTGCTGGATTTCAGAGGCAAGGGATTTCTCTTGGCAGCTGCAACAATTATAAGGAGTAAAACATTTCAAAGATTATTCTGGAATTTTAGTCAATCTTTGCAGTATACAACAAGCTACACAGAGTTTACTTTTTATTTCTTCAAAACAAGAAATTCATCTCTTCTGGTACCAAAACCAGTAAATCTCAATCAAATAAATAATAAGTACTTTTGCAGAAATAAGATATTTTACAAGATAACTTGACTTCATTGTCAGCTCAGTTACATTTGTGGGTTTCTCCACTTGCCAAGCAAACTCTCCATTCTATTTCATAAGAACCTGTAGAAACTTCTCTTGAATTAGGGTAATTGTTATTGAAAAATAAAAATAAAACAATTCACATTGAAAACAGACAGACATTTCCTATTATGGGCTCAAACTTTGCAGCATTGTTTGTCAATGATTTGGAAGATTTCTGAGAACTGTAAACCATACTGAATGAGAAAATAATGTTAATTTCAATACTAATGGGACAGAATGGGAAAGCCAGCACAAAACAATTAAGGAAAGGTATTAATGACTTACTTTTTGTAACAACTCCTTCAAGGCGAATGATATTTGGGTGATCAAACTGTCCCATAATACTCGCCTCCCTCAGGAAATCTCTCCTCTGCCTGTCCATATAGCCACCCTTTAGAGTTTTTATGGCAACAGGGATCTCTCTTTTTCCTGGTGTCTTCAGACGTCCGCTGCAAACTTCTCCAAACTCCCCTGAAATTGATAAAATATCTGTTAGTAACTCACAGTACAGAAGAATATTCAAGGAACTCACACATCCCATAGAAGTGGACAGAGAAATAACTGACTGAATATTCAGATTGATGAGTGTCACCACATCCCAGAAAATCCAGATATTCAGCAGCATTCACAAGACATGATCACCTTTCCTCTGTGCCACAGCAGAGATCATGGCACCTTGTACCTGCAAAAGGCAAACCTTCAGCCCTCCCCACTGAGACTGAACATTGCTATCAACAGGTTTGGGATACATAACTGAGGAAGGAATGCAATGGGACTTGGATTTTTATTCCACTGATGACAAAATATCTGTTGATAGAAATATTTATCTCTAGGGGTGAAATGCACTAAGAGCTGTATGTTAAGAAAAGCCCTGAGACTATCAGAACACTTGACTATCCTTCAGCTGCAGAGAGCATTTTAAAAGCACTTTATGCTGTTATGACCTAGAAAAGCACTTGCACATGATTTATTTAAATGGACTTCCACACCCCTTGAAATTAATTACACTTGAAATTAATTACACATTTCCCTGTTCACAGAGCCAAAGGCCAGCAGTCCCAACAAATCTGGGGTTGTGCAGTGAGAGGAATCCCAAAACTTGTTTCCCCTGATGTTTCCCTGTCTGTGTAGGGCCTGTGAAGGATGTGTGTCTCCTTGCATTCTCCTTACACATTCAATAATTCAGTTTGTATGGAAATCACAACTTTCCTTTGATCTTGAAGTCACCCAGAAGTTATTCAGAGCCCCTAGCAAACATACTCTTGGATGACTGCAGGTCAGTTTTCAATGGGTTATAATTCAGTAAATGAAAAACAATGTTCAGAGAAATATTTCAAAGCATTTCTCAGTGCAGGTTGCTTTCACAGAAAATCTAAATTTTTTACCCCAGTCATTTTGGAATCAGAACTGCTAAAAAACAAAAAGCAAGTAATTAACAGATAATATTTAACTGAGGATTTAACACTCCACTGAATGTTGTTTGTATTAGTTTTCTCTACATTTTAAGGACAGAAGTAAACAAAATAAAGGAGCTCTATTCTGTAAGAGTGCATCTTCAGATATGAAGCAAATCTAGAAGAAAGATGCATTAAAGGCACAACCTTCACTTCAGAAAATTATAACTCCCTGATATAACAGGATTAGAATGGATATTGTTACAAGACTTTTATTTTATTAGGTTCTGTTCCACTAAAACAAAGCAAAGTTTTATTATCTTTAGATCCAGGAAGAGTGAGATTAAAATAACAATTTCAAATCTTGTCTTTCACTTCAATGACAGAGGCATCATCAAGTGCAAGAGTACAATTAAGACATGCTGAACATAACCTCTGATTAAATTAGCAGCTTCCTAAACAGCTAAAAAAAATAAAGTGGTTCCAGGTCTTCTTTGTACAGTTCCTCCCACCAATTTATTTCTACTTAATTAAAAAAATAAATTAAAGATGTGTGCAAATATAAGATATATGAAAATATATGTCATTAGACTGATGCTCCGGGAATCTTTTGACAAAAGGGGAAGTTGTGTGAGGATTTTCCTACAGGATTTTGTCCCTTTCACCTTTAGAAGACTCTCCTTAAAAGTTTGCTTGCCTGACTACTTGCTCTGAAAAAGCAGTAGATAATTTGGACTTGTAAAGTGCTCCCATAAAAGAAAGTGATGAAACCTGAATGTTTTGCAGGAGACATGGTCTATCAATCTTCTGTTCTGTGACATGTTCAGCAGGACCAGAACACTTCTCTACAGCCATGACCTTATTGCATCTTGCTGTTTTTTTTTTTTAGCTTAAATGCCTAAAATGAGACATTTTTCCAATTCTTTCTCTTGAAGAAGCAGTAAAAAGCAAAAATACTAGAGCCTTAATATCAGATTTTTAAAGAAATTTTGTTGCCAATAAATCTGCAGACTTGCAAAATCTCATTTTAAGACTAATTTGGAAAGCATAGGTTATAGAATAAATCATTTTGCTACAACAAGATTATACAAGAATATTACAGCTTCAGAATTTCATAAATAATGACATTCAGCCCTCAGGGACTCTAAAAGGCTGTTACCAAGTGCTTTAAAATGAATTTAACTGAAGGAGGCAGCTGAACAACTTGCAATTCCAAGATTTATTATCTGCACAACACCCAAAGCAGGGAAAGGAACCCCTGTTCCTTTTACTTTTTTTTGGATGCATGATTTGGAAAGTTAGAAAGAAATTTCCATCCCCTTGGATATTGGGATTGATAAACTGGTGAACATAAAGACTACCAGCAGGTTTTTTGTGACATAATGCCAAACTTGAGCTCATCACCTTCAGAACAGACAGAAACCTAAGGTGTATGATACCTTCTACTTCTGTTTTAGACTAGATGGAGATCAATGATATAATTTAAAGCATTGAATTATTTACACTAAGACTCTGACAAGATTTCATCCCACAGTATCTTTTCTACACTTCTGCTCAGATAAAGAATTTTCAATGTTTTTAAAGTCAAAGGGGAATGGATTCAACCAAAGGGGTTTTCAAAATCTAAGAATCTCATTCTCACTGCTCAGGTTTGAAGATAAACAGGATAAATGTTGACCCTGCAGCAGCTGAGGTTCATGACTGCATGTGTAATAAGTTGAAGCTAAGAGCCAGGTGTCAATGAAGTCAACATTTTTCCTTGCTCCAGGGAAAAGGCTGATCACAACTAGAGAAAAAGATAGAGTCCACTGCCTGTTCAGTTTTAATAAAATGTAAATAATCTCTGGTTTAACAACAGAAACCTCACCCATGTTTCTGTATATTATACAAAAAGGAGCTAATTGAGCAGTCTAGAAATTTAATCTGTGCAAACCACACGTCCCTTTTTGCATTCAGCAGGGCATTTGTGGTACTGAAAGTGAAACAGGAGCAGTCAGTCACTTAAAAGTCTGAAGTGCAGCCTGGTATTACTGCATGGGATCAGAACAAATGTCTTGCAGCACAGGCAGTGGCTGCTGAGAGAACTGAAAGGTCACAGCACCAAAGACAGCCCAAGTCACTTCCCCATTTCAGTCTTTACACCTGTGGGAGAACTTGCAGGAGATTTAGATCATGCAGAGAATATTCCCTGCTCTGGGAAAAACTGAAGAGTTGGTCTCTTCCTCAAGTTTCAATATTTTAACAGAGAAAATAGAAGGATAATTGTAAATTTTAGGATGGACTTGACAAAGTAACTCTGGGAATTCATTTCTTGAAGAGGGGCTGAACCCTTAAGCCAAACAGCAAGAAGAGATGGAGCAGAAAAAGTGTATGGGTGAGATATAATTACCAAATACTTCAAAGTATAACTTGGGTACAGAGTTAGGTTAGAGTTAAGCTGACAAAAGAAGCTAACTAAAAATACTTTCCTTGAGTGTGACAGCCATCAGAACTGCAAGTAGTGAATTATCAAGAACTTTTGGACATGACTTTTTCAATTGAAAAAAAACAAACTGGAAGCTGCTTCCAGGAGAACAGTTTTAAAAATGTCATGACCAGAAATGCTAGAATTTTCTTTTTTCTCGAGTATTTGTGATTTTTCACTTTGGCAGTTTCAGAATGAAATATTTTGGTTCTTGAATGGAAATAATTTTGAAAAATTAAAAAGTTACATAAATTAAAAATGAGAATTAATGGCCAAAATAAAATGTTAGAACAAATTTAGAAGTGAATCTACTAACTGACTTGTTAAAAGAGAAGATGCTGATTTTTGGTTTCACTTAGGTGAAAATTGTTAGCATCTTTTAAAAGTAATTCTCTTGTGATAGGAAATCCATTTTATATCCAATTAAAATGTGTACTACAGAATTAGAGAGAATGCACAGAAACCTTTAGGACTGCTGAGAATGATCCTGCTGTTGTCCCTGAGCAGCTACTGAAGAACTGCGTGGGAATTTTTACCCTCCCTGCCTCAGCCATGGTATTTAACCTGTATCTTGTATGCATGGAAATGGGTTTAAATTTCATGGCAACCTGTTTGCAAGTCCTGTTAGGTGAGTATTTTTGAAGTTGAAAAATTATCCATGTAATTTTAGAAAATAAAAACCATAAAAATGAAACCCATAAAAGTAAAATATGTCAAAGCATACACTTCCATGCACAGAAGAAAGCAGAGAGAGAAGCTGAGAGTTTTCATAAATGAATTAAACTGCGATTAAGGACACAATTTTAATTTCAACAGAAACAAATAATCCTTGTCTTCTGTATTAAACTGAAATCAGCAGTTACACAGAGGTGGAATGTAGCTCAATCTGCTTTATAAACTAAGACATCAATACCTATACCGTGCCTGAAGAAAGGGAAGAAATAGAAGAAAGCAAACAATGTTCTCTGCTGAGGTCAGACCTCTGGGGGCTCTCCCAAGCTCCTAATTCCAGATGTGCACAGCTCCAGCTGCAGGTGATGTGGCCTAAGCAACCAGGTAAAGCACTGGAGTACTCCAGCACTATGCACTGCAATGTGAAACAGAATTTTCTTTTACTTTCTCTCTCCTGCCTGCTAGCAGACCTGGTTTTATTTCTGCAGGATTATTACACAACATTTTCTAGTGCATGAAACACTTCTTAGCAAGACTGGGGATATTTCCATGGTTATCAGTGCAGTAACATACCATTAAATGAGGGGTTTAAACTGAAAAATACCCTTCCTTTCTAGAGGGACTAAGATATATGAAACAATATTAAAAAAAGGATTACAGGGCATCATCTTTCATACTCTCTACATTTTATCAACAGATCTTCCTGATTTCCCTCTCTGCCAGTGATCCTTCTCCAGACAGAAAAGCCTATCCCAAGCCAGCCTCTCCTTTTCTTCCTTCCAGTCTTCTATTTGAGAATAATTTTTTCTCAGTCTTCTACATTCAGAACTTATATCCCCACAGAAAGAGATTCTGATCTAATTTCACCCTCAGTGACTGAGAATACATGACAATAACTATGGCACATGATGAGTGACACAGTGTTTTGAATACATCTATAAAACAAAACAAAACAAAAAATCCCCAAAAAGCCAGGCAAAAAATCAATCCTACACAAAAAACTGATAATAAATTAATTTCCTAAAGCTTATGAAAAGCAGTATTGCCATGCCTAGGGATTTTTTTACAGTAGGGATAGTTTTACCTGCCCCAATGACTCTTTCAATACGAATTCTTGAAGGATCAATCTCCTTGGCAAACTCATGGACAGCAAGAGATGGATCTTCATAAGTGTCTGGATCTATGTATGTTTTGAGTCCTGGGAAATGTACTGCAAGAAAGAGAGAATAAGAGGAATCAGGAACTCCTTGACATTCATGCATTGCAACAATGTTTTTTTTGGTTTGTTTTTTTTTTTTTTTTTGACTAAACAATTGAAAGGACTGAGAATAATATATTACATCTTCCAGGTTTAAAATTTCAGAACCCAACAGAAGAGCTGGTCACTTGAAAAAGGGTCTGCAGAGGCACCAAGTGAGGGCTCAATGACATGGGGAAAAGCACGGCCTCAAAACAGCAGTGATTATTGCCAAAGCAGTTTATCTTCCCCTTTGCTGCCCCTTGGGCAATAGAGGCAATCTGTCCTTTACTTTGAAAACAGTTGTTTCTAGTTCATTCCTTTCATTTAGGAGAGGATGGCTGAACATCCTGTTTTGCCAAACAGGTCAAATCTTTGAGTTCCTTTTCTCTCAGGATGAGTTCTGGAGGGCTGTGCTGCTTTGTTCTCTTCTGATCAGCTGGAACAGCCAGAGAGCCAGGTGCAAGATGACAACAAAAATATCCAAATCCATTTTCAAGATAACTTCTGTCTGTTTCCTTGGAGATGGCCATGGCAGTGGTGGGTTGGTGCCAGATTGCTTTGGCAGGCTCCAACAAGCTGTCATTTTCTGGCATGGCTGATATCCCTTGTGTTTCTGAGCATAGCATGTTCAAGAACTTGTGTTGTTTCTTCTGGACTATCTGTGTGGGAATAAGGTCTGGAAATCTTTCAATCCATCATCAGAAGTTGATGCTAATAATCCATCAATTTATCAGGACAAAAAGAGGTATCTGCAGCTGGGTCCAGAGAATTCCTTTAAAAAGAATGAAGCATTTCTCAGCCTTCTTTCTCCTGTCAGTTAATAGCTGAGTCTAAAACAGTAATTCCTCTTTATTCTTGGTTCTGTGGAGCACATATATGAGTAGAGACTTGCCCCCTCCAGTGTGATGCTGAGATCACTACAAATGAATGGGAAGGCTCTGAGATGAAGCTTTGTGTCAACATGAAATACAGTCATCATTTACCCTGGCCTGAAAGACACTGAGTGAGGCTTTTTTCAAATTCAGTCACGGTCTCAGAGGCATATATCAAACTCTCCAGGAGGAGGGTTTTTGTCTTTTTATTTCTGGCCATGCTTGGAAACAAATGACAAAACCATCTTTCTAGGCAGTATACTTTACGGGCAAATGTGCCCTTTTCCTTGACAGTAAGAGACACTTGGCTCGATATAGTGGTGTCACCTGAAAAAATATTTTACTTCTGGTAACTTCTGTGTTGATCATAGCACTTCCAGAGATGTTATCAAAATTATAAAAGAATAAAATCTGATATGTGCAATACCCTTTGAATAAAAAAAAGATTTACATTGTAACTCTAACAGGAAACAGTAAGGCAACTAATTTAAAGTAGGCAACTAAACGAAGCTGTATAAACTAATTATTGCCCATGAGAGATCACCAGGATTTTCTCTCACTGTACTGATCAGTGAGCAGGAACAAACCATTCCACTTCTCATTTCTTGGGTGGCTGGAAGTGCAGATCCCTAAATCCAAAGAGAACTAGATACAAATAAGTTATACAGTTGCCAGCAGAGGAATTTTGAGGCAAAAATCCAGTACCCAGAACAACTGAGAATTCAAAGAAATACACCTGAAAACCTGCTAAATATTATTAGCTGAATACCAAAGAACCCTTTAATAACTAGAATAGATTTAGTGAAATTGCAAACAAAAATAAAGACCGTTGATGATGCAGACAATAAGGAACTACTCAAATAATCAGATTAAAACATCAAGGGCAAAAGCTGTTCAGTGGACTTTCTTAATTTAAAACATGATATAGATATTATACAGTGTTCAACTACTTACGGTGTCCATTTTGCAAATGAGCCCTTCTTTTCTCCTCAGATTTCATTTTGGCCTTTATGTACCACTGGCATCTTTCAAGAAAAACAGGTGAGGTTTTAAATAAAATTGAACAATACAGATGTGCACCGAGTTTTATCTGCAATTTTATGAAAGCCAAGTTCTATGGATTTGGAATATATAGTTACTTATGAATCTAAAGAGGGAAATATGCATGATGAACTACAAATGGATTATATACAAAGTAAAACAGATCATGGTTGAATGATTAGCTTGACAATAACTACCTGAGTTTAACTTTGATGTAATACTTTTTTCTGACTCCTCCAAAGAATTCTGATACTTCAATTAATTATTATTTTCCTGCATTCCTGTTTGCATGCATAGCCCTGTGGTAATTAAACCTTATCCCATTAAATTTCATACACAGTGGGTAAAATACCCTCTCATTTTCTTAATGATAGAATTATAATGACTTCATCATGTTTCATGAAAAAAGAAAACATTTTTCTCACATCAGGACCCCTTTTGTCTCTTTTGCTGAGTGGGTCTGTGCAGTCTGAGCTGCTGAACACTGCCTACCTGCAGGTCTGATAATGCTGATTTAGGGGGTCACATGGCAGGACCAACGTTTCAGCCAAGAAAAAACCAAAATATTTGCTCTTGGTCTTAAAGCTGTCACTCACTGAGCAGCCTATTTGGAGGGGAATCTTTTGGTTTAAAGGACAGCAAAGGGTTGTTGAGGCTCTGATGCCTGTGGAGAACAGCAGTGCCTGTGGATGTGTGCTCTGGAGTACAGACATGCAGTTCCAAAACCAGCTTGAAAAAAAAAAAAAAGACTGTCCTCTGTGTGAACATTAACAGCATTATAAAATGAAATAAAAATAACTACAGTCAGTAAATCCATACTAACAGTGGAGGCCTTTGAGGAACAGGTGAACACACCCACCTCACAGCAGGAACAGGCACAAGTTCATTCAAGTTCATTCACTGCTACTCATGTGATGAAGGAGGAAAATAAAGGCAGAAACTCCTGAAGCTGGTGTGCCCTTGTGGGGAAATGCAACCCAGTGGATTCTCAGACTCTGTGGAAACCTTGAGATTGAACACCACTTGAACACCCCTTGCTGGGACTCCCTAAGGATGCCAGTGCCACTTTTAGGACCTGAACAATTGTTCTGTAGGGCGCCACCTGTCCAGAGCCCTAAAGTTCTTACACTCCAAGTGCTTGCCCAAGGGAACAGGCAAAGAAACACGACTTTAACCTTCCCCAACCCTCCTAAACATCCACGTGGTCCCCAAGTTTGACTACAGAAGCCAGTGATTAATCACCAGCAGAGGACTCTCCTCATTTCTCTGCTCATGTTGGCTGCAGAACAACCAGAGATAAGGCAAAATCAGACTGAGCTTTAACATCCCGTGTCCTGAAACTGAGCCAAGACCCCAGTCCTGTGTCTTGAAGCCTCTGTTGCTTTCATATTCCTACCTGAAAACGACAGCCCTGCTTCCTGCTTGCTCCTTGTGGATAATGACCCAGCACAGTGCAGAGGCAGGTGCTCATTTCACCCAGCCTCTCCACTCTGAATAGGCTCATCAGCAGCCCTGAGACTCGACAGCTCATCAGATTGTTAATTCCAAACAGTGAAGCAGAGCACATCTGTAGGGTACCAGTGCCATTTTTCATGCTGAAATTTGCCTCCAGTCCTAGAGTAAATTGAGTATTCAAAATTTTCTTTCTCTGTCTTCTGTGGAACATGCTCTTATCACTGCATTTAAGCAGCACTTCAAAATGATTTCCTATCTTACATAGTTGAAATGGTCCCATTGAGTAAGGCAGTAGAAAGCTGAGAGAATCTCTGATATTCTTAACAGTAGAAAACAGGAGGAAGAAACACAGAAAGAAACCCATTTCCATATTTTTTTTTCATTCCCAAGTTTAGTGATTTTTTTTTCTAAAGGAAGTGTTTGAGCTGTTTCAGGATTTCACATATGGATTCCACACAATCATTTTCTCTGGAAATTTGTCTCTGTCTAAATAATTCCTGTCTCTTCTGAAACATCCTACTGCTTGTCACCTTCTGTAGTAATTGCAGGAATATTTACTCAGCCTCTAAGATTATCTAAGGCCACAGTATGTTCCAAGGAAAACTGCTCTCATTACCTTCACCAGAATGTTAGATTTAACTGGTTTTATTATTTAGCAGAGAGAGCATTAATTCACATAATGGCAGCTACTGCAGTGCCATATTTAGGGTATTGCTGGGGTATTGCAAACAAACCTCTGGCCTGCACTGATAGAACTTCACTTTCTGTTCAAATTAGAGGTAATGCTGTACCAAGAAAACGGTGTAATTACAAATCTAAAAGCGCAGCACCCTCTGTTGATATCTGAGAAGTGCACTCTCTAAAGTTTTGCAACTGACAATTATGAGATTTTGTAGAATATACTGTAGGGATTTTTTCTCATTTTATTTTTTTTTTTCTTTTCCATGTAATGTCAGAGCCTTGAGGGTGCAGCAGGTATACTGCATTTTTAAATTATCACTGCAGGCAAGAGGTCCAGAAACCTATTTCTAAATATCCAAACTACTTCTTGATTTCACATAATTTCTTATCTCCCCAAAGTGTTTCTTTATGAAAAACCACACTTAGAAAAGAACTGTATGACCAGTGTTGAACAAAGAGGATTATTCCACTTTGTCTAACCCTAATTTTAGCTGTAAAATATGGTCTAATGACTTGATTATTATTCTGAAATTCTTAATTTTGTATGGGACTACACGAGAACAATGTTTTAATTACCTGCCAGTGATGAGGAAGAACAAAGTGAGGATGACCAGCAGAGTGAACCCACCCACAGCAGCAGTGGCAATTACAAGAATCTGTCCCTGCTCTGCAGCCATATCAGAAGCTGAAAGAGAAGCACAGAGAAAAGGGGTTGATGCTCCATCCATCACCCAGGGATTTTGCAGAATGGCTGAAATAATTTCAATGGTCAAATGTTACAATTTGTTTTTAAAGTTTTCCTCAGTGTTTAGCAAGGGCATCAGATGCAATTGTGAGAAACCATAATCCATGTCCCAGCTAGGATGGAGGGAAGATGATTTTGCAGGTTTCTAAAAGGAGGATTTGTCACTATCAGACACTTGCAATTTACTAAAGTTTGAATATGAGAGGATTTTGGACACAAAACTGTATTTTCTTCCTTAGCTTTATTTATCTCAATCCTGCACCTAATTCAGAAGTTCTCTCCGTCCCCCTGTCCCAGTGAAGTCAGCAGCAGTGCTGGGTATGTGAAGATACTAAACTGGGTTCAGGAGGAAGCAAAAGCAAAACCCCCACACCTCATGTGTAGCTTCACACATTCTTCAGCATGTCTGGTGCTCAGTTTCATTGCCACAAAATACATACAGTTTATCATAACATGCTTTGGTGATTAGCAACACTGTAGTTGACAAAAAAAAAAAAAAAATCTTAGGCCTCTTGTTTTTCTTTCTGCTTTTTGTAGGATGTTTAGGAGCTAAAAAAGATCACCTGAAATTATCCAGTCGTTGGAGACTTCCTAATTTTGTTTATTTATTGCATATAATATTAATTTTTTACATTGAGGATTTATCTACTTACAGTCCAGGTGGTCCTCACTATCCAAATACAACATGAGCAGAAAAAGAATTAGGCTCATTTTTTTTCTCTGTCTCCTGTCTTTTGAATCCAAAGTTTTATTTGTTAAACTCAGTTCCACTTGAACATTTACATCACATGACATTTACCCAACTCTTACTATTTCCATGGGAAATAAAACATTGCTTTGAAAGAAGAATAAATAATTCAATATAATGACTTCTGAAAATAGGAAGCAACTTTGATTTGCTAAACTTGCAAACTGTTCAATAAGCAAAATCTTCAGCTTTCTTTAGGCACCAGGTGATCAAGGCTTAGGAAAATCACCCAGGCTGCTGTCTAGAAAGCTCAGCAGGTGATATTCTCTCATTTGCAGCTGATGAAGCTCAATGCAATGCACACATTGCTATCCAAAGCCTCATAAAACTCTGTTTCCTAGAAAAGCATTTGGCTTCTGAACAAGATTTGTGTGTGACTTAAAAACTCGTGGTGTAAATTGGCTTTGTAAGAGTAATTTTCAGCAAAACCAACTTTTTAGGTTCCTGCCGTTAGGTTTCTGTCCAAATAATTTGATGGAAGCATGCACAGGCAGTAAACTTCAAGGGATTCAGATAAGTTAAGTATACACATCTTCCAAGAAATGATGGAGAAAATATTGACTGAATAGTTAAATGATATTTAGTGATGTCACGGCAGTGGATTCCAGCTCTGTGTCACCTTCCACAGGTTCAGGTTTAGTTGGAAAAATGTAACATAAGAAATATCATGCCACACAAGAAACAATGCAAATGCTGAATACAGTTTTCAGACTAGTGGGAGTTGTGCTAAAAAATGTGGCAAAGATTATTAAAGTCAGGCATGGCTTGAAGTTGTACATGGAGAAGGTTTCAGAGGAGTCTTTCCTGCCCACCTCCGCAGTGGAGAGAACAAACTGCAGCTCTCATTTTGTTTTTAACAGGAAGAAGATGTGTGCAAAAATAGTGAATTTGGTAGGAGGAAAGCAAAACACAAGCTCAAAATTAACAACAGAATTTACTTGTCAAAAGACAAATTAACTGTGATTTTTTTCAACAGACATTCACTGCCAAAGCAACAACCCAGGAACCTTCCTGGTGCAAATGCAGGGACTGATTCCATGGCCCAAAGAAGTACCTGCAGCTACCAAGATGAAGATGTATCCTGCATCATTTCTGGATGGAGCTGCTATTTTCTTTTTTTTTTTTTGTTGTTCTAGCTAAAAGAGAATCCAATCTACCCATTTAATAACATACATTTTTCTATGAGGAACCAAATGCACATTAATGAAGGGAAGAAATTCAGACTGATTGATGTTCTTTCTGTCTGTAAACAATACAGATTTTTAGCTGAGACTGTACCTACTTGAAAAGTGATAATTCTGTTTCTCTTGTTTGTATTTTAGAGGCCAGAGTTGAAGACACTACGATTTTTTTTTTCATGTAGTTAAATCACTACAAGGGATTTTCAAGCCTGAAACTTCCAGATGACTTTAATTTACCTGTCAGATAAAAATGTCAAATGACAGACAAGAATAATTAGAAAATGTGAATTTGTTAAAAACTGACAGAGAGGCTGGTAAAGCAAAATCATGGAAATATTTATACACAGATTTATCACATACAGGTAAAAGGTTCCACAAAAAACTATTTAGGCAGTGAGAAGACAGTAATCAGGGACACTCAATACCTAGAATTTTTACAGCATTTTATCATTCTAAATTAAATTCTATGCGTCTCTCAACCTCTCTGCTCTTTTCTCATTTCTCCAGCTTTCTCTTATGGTGAAGTTGTAAATACTAAGAGAATTATTTGATTCTGTTGTGCATATTCTTGAATATTTTTTGTTACTTCCTGGATTTCCTTCCTTATTTTTTCTGTGTATATTGGTCTATTGGTCATTGGACCCTGTGATTCTCCTCAGAACTTCCTGATTATACAAGACAGAAAAACTCAGTTTAAAAAACAACTGTGGTGGGTTTCAAGGTCAAGCAAGTTCCTGCAACCTCATTTCATCCCTTTGTGTGTACATATCAGAATGCTGCACCTAATCACAGCATTTTTTTCCAGAATCTCATGTTGGATAACATGGCCAGAATTCCTATAGCTAAAATCAATATTTTGTTGTCTCTGCACTGTCCAGGGCACCTGAACTTTATCATAAACCATGAGCAGAGCTAAGGGACCTTAGCACCCCTCTAACTGGGCTGGCTGCTTAGTCTGCTTCTATTTTTCATTCTGTCTACCTGTCTGCTAAGTGAGTTCATTTGGACAGAAAACACTTAAAAATGAGTAGTTAAGACAAGGAAAAGGAAGAATTTATGATTTATCCAAGATGTTTCAGTAGCACACTGCAATGTTTGGGTGGCAAAACTCTTCAAGTACATTTTACCTGCTTCTGATGTCATTAGTCCAAGTGATTTTAAAACTGCAGCATGGATTATATATGCACCCAGGAGATTTTTATCCAGACAAACTCCTCACTGCCATTGCTCTTCATGCTTAACTCATGCTATAGGCCTGAAATGATGCTTGGTTTCTAATTGCATCTTTACAGCTTCCTTGCTCAACACCATGCCCAGAAATCCCTTCTGCATCCAGCCTGGTGTCAGTTCTGCCCCTACAATTCACCTTTTACATCCATGCCCTGTCTCATCTGCTCTCTAGGTTCTTCATCCAAATGTATGGAAGAGGAGCTGCACTTTCCCTCCCCTCTGGGCTGAAGGGAAATACCCTGAGGCTTCCTCTTTTCCTCACTGGGCACACTGGAAGAAATGGTGCAGATGTTTTATTCACAGTGCAAGAGGATGAAAACCAGAGAGAATCTTTCAGCTCTGCTCTTTCTTTGAGCAAATTTCCCCAAAACATTTTACAAGCTGGTGTGTTTGGTATAAAAGAGCTGGAAGCCCTAATGACAGCTCACTTCTGTCCCTCAGCTACATGCCTTGGTTACTTCAACTTGACATCTATCAGGCAGCAGACCCTCCAGCAGACTGAAAGATAAAAAAGTGACAGAAAGACAGCCAGACTGATAACAGTGAGCAGCTGTAAGACAGATAAGTGTGGACAGTGAGCACTGGAGCTCTAATAGTCAGGAACAGGCTGTCAGGGGGATTTACAAGGCATTGTAAACAACACTGCTTAAGAACAGTAGGCAAGAAAAACACAAAGTCTCATTAGGGCAACATTTACATTTTCATAAATGCAAATGTAGTTCCTGTGCAGTTCCTGTGATAAGGTGAGCTGATGGGCTTCAGTCTAAGGGGGAATGAGAAAGCAAAGGAAAGGTGTGTCACAGTCATATTTTCTGGAAAAATCCCTTTGCCCAGGATTCCTCTCCTGAGGAGCTGAGAAGCCTCAGAGAAAAAAGAAAACAATAATTATCTGATTTGCTTCTCCTGTGTTTTGCTGCTTTGGAATGTGTTTGGACATTGTTTACAACAAGTGGTTGTTTCATTCATTTCATGTGAATTGTTTTGACTTATCAGCCAATCAGTGCCAAGCTGTGCTGGACTCTGAAAAGAGAGTCAGGAGTTTCATTATTATCACTTTAGCCATCTGTAAATATCCTTTCTGTATTCTTTAGCATTGTTTAGTACTCTTTAGTATGATATACTATCATAAAATAATAAATTAGCTTTCTGAGAACATGGAGTCAGATTTATCATTTCTCCCTGCCACGAGGGCACCCCACAAGTACAATAAAAGGTGAACTTAAAAGGGACCATCACTAGCATAAGAATGTAAAACTTTTTGGTGTCTATTCACCTGAAAAGCTTTCTTCCAAGTGTTTTCCCTTAAAATCCTCTTCCTGACCAGTGGATACATGGAAAGCCTGTGCAGGCAGTTTGAGATTTGAATGAGGATGTTGCTCTTGTTTAGGAAATGCAGAGCAAAAGTGAAGTATTTTTTGGATTTCTGGACACAAACAGTGGTGCAATCAGATAGACCAAAATCAAATGTGAAGAACAAATGGCTAAAGTATTAAACACAGCAAGGAAATAATTAAAGACTAAATGAGACATTCTTTGGTATCCAGTGCTGACTAATACTGAATAAACAGTAAGACAAGACAGAGGTGGGGAGAGATCCAACAAGAAGTTTCTAAATATGAGATATGTGTCATCTGATTTGTTTTGTGTCAACAAAGAATTCAACTTACTGTTGTCAAAACATTAAAAATCGTTAAAAAAAAACCAAAAGGCCACCTTTGCATTGGTAATGCAATAGATTTTCTAAAAATCCTTGGGATGGCTTCTCTGCCATGGCATGAACCAGGCCATGTGCTTAAACCAGCAGTGGACCTGCACTGGAATCAATGATTCATGACCCTTTTCTTGAGCTTTGGACTTCTGGAAAGAATGGAGTCCCATCTGGTGACAAATCCAAAAATAGCCTGATTTGAGGATAAAAAGTTAAGGACTTGTGGCTGTAGGAAGAGGGAGAAGAATGTGAAAATTCAGCAGAATTTTCTGGCAATACACAAAAATCACCGTCTGAGACTATGGTAAAGAAATTAAAGATATTGATACATCAAGACTGCAGTTTCAGCCAATTATTTCTTCACAGTCTTCAAACTTATAAAACACCTAGTCAGGTATTACATTAGCATTTCTGAAATGTTTAGGGTTTTGTTGTTAATAATTTAAAGTATACAAAGTCTGCATTGCTTTTGGATTAAAGATCATCATGTGCTCACATTTATCACTGTATTTAGCCCAAGCACAAGTACACAGTGCATAAAAGCTACTTTGTCCCTTAGGTCCCTTCCAGAACAAGCCAACCATTCCACTTGCAGATTATTTTTCCTAATGATGGGAAGGCCAAGAAGGAAAATACCCTTGGTTTTAGAACATGCCCTGCTTTGACATGAAAACTGCCTTAAAGCTGTAAATTGTTCAATATTTTACAAATTCCTCTGGGCAGAAGGACCTCTGAGGTAATGTAAATAAAAAATTTCTTTAGGGGAAAAAAAAAAAAAGTTTGAATCGTTAATTAAAAAAAGAACCCAACAAAACCAACCAACCAACCAGAAAAGGTATTCCAAAAACAGCTGGTTAGAAGAGAAGGGGAAAAAAAACCCAGAGAGGGTAACAGTCAGAGATTAAAGCAACTGTGCCCTAGGAAAAATGTTTTTCTTAATTGTCAGAACACATTTTATTCTCTGTTAGGAAGGACCAGAGTGTTTCTGTGGTGACTCAGATATAGCTGGTAATTCTGACAGATAAAAGCAGGAGCTACAAGTGAGGTTTATGCTCCAATTTGAAGCCCCAGCAGTGGCAGCTGTGTGTGTGCTGGAGTGTATGAAAACCTGCCAGCTTTGCTAGGAGTGTTTTGCCTGCAAGGTGCTGAAACAGAGACTGAATAAAATGGCAACAAGAAAGAAAGTCACAAGTGGTGGTTGCTGTGCCTTGGAAAGGTTTCACGTTTCCCAGGTGCAGCCTCTGGGCTTTAAAAGGGGGAGAAATGCCTGTCAGCATCCATTCATCCATCCCTGCTTCCTTGAGGAGAATTTTTCTGACTATCCTAGGTAACTACATTTCCTACCACAAAGAAAATAAAAATGTCACTCTTTTGGATGCTTCACTTGTTTGTTTTTGCAGCAGGGAGAAGAGTTCACAACAGAGCTCCAGAGGCCGTGGCTCAGTAAGTGAGGGTGGTGCTTCCCAAAAAGCACGCCAGCACTAATAACTAACTTCCTCCACCACCACTGCAGATTTGGTCTTCTCTCTCCCTCATGCACCACCTTTAGCAATCCCACCAAAATGTTTTAGTGCTCCTGGTGATGATGTATCTATTTTATGCTTTATGACTTTACAACTGAAGTGACACAGGTAGTGTTTCACCCAGTACATCAGAGAAGGCAGGACAGTGCCGTGCCAAAGGACAGTGTGTTTTAGTACACTGACATACACATCTCACAGCTGATGAATCATTAACCTTCTAGAATTAGGCTATTAAAGAAAAACCCCAATTTTTGATTGCTTGCTTTAGCATCATCTATTAACAAATTCTGTCAACATTCAAGCAGGGTAAATGGAATAACCTTGGATGTTTACCTGCAACTGGTCTGGGAATTAATTCTTCTCCACTGTAACATGTTCAATTGGCAGAGAGCTGGAGGATGTTGCAATCTAAGGCCAATTAAGGAGGATTTTTTATCAAACACATGACTTAAAATATTTTTTGTTATTTTCATGAGAGTGTTGGTTGATAAATTTTCTGTTCACAACACAGACATTTAAAACACTCTGTTCTTCCCAGCCTTCTCATGAAAATGCTACTTTTGAGTTAATTCAAATCTAATTGAAAGTCCACAAAAAGTAATTGCAAAAGTGGAATTTTCACCAGGTAACTTGTTTTTAATGAGCAGGGATGGAGGGAGCTGCAATAGTCTGCCTTGGCCTGATATTATTTGCTATCTTTCAGAAGAATTGAGAAAAATGAATATTAAAAAATCAGTAAATTTTCAGCTGAGCTTCACACTGCCAGAATAGTAAATGATGAAGAGAGATTCCTACACAGCTGGAGTAGGACTGGTTTGTAAGACAGATGCAGGCTAGCAAGAGCAAATTAACATTTATGGGTACTGACAGAACCAAGCAGCCCAAATCTCAACACACCTCTCCCAAATCTCTCTGTGCAAATGTTACTCAGTATCTTGAAATACTGACAAAACCATTGCTGTATTCTATTTATTCAGCTATGTGACACCATGTACTAGTTTCAACACAGAAGTAAAAGAAATCAGAATTATTGAGAGAAAAACTGCGTTAGGTCTGTTTATGGCATCATAAACAGATTTATTTTTCCAGTTTATTTCAGTATCATGTTCAGTTTTGATGTTATACTCAAAAAGGATGTTAAAATTAAGTTTACCATGCAGCCCAAGGGCCAGCTGTATCAGAGCCCTCAGAAGGAGAGATGGGGCCAGGACGGAGTAAGGGGAATGTGACTCCCAGGAGATTCCCTCACTACCAATGAGGGAAATGTCACTGGAGCCACAGTCTTCCTGATTTAGATTTTCACAATGTGAAATCTCACAGAGGTTTAAATCCTATTTTCTTTTTATATGAATTAAGCCATGTATTTATTGCACCAGAAGATACAGAAAAGACGTACTGAAATTATTGAAAGCACCCAAGTGCTCAACTCCTATTCAAACCAATTGGCTTAAGTACCCAGCAAATTTTAAAAAGTCCAATTAAGCATTAAGCACTTGGAAATCTATCCCTGATTGATTTTTGAAATAGAAGTTAAGAAGCAATAAAAATGGAACACAAATCCCTAGGTGCTCTTGGAAGCACTTACATAGTTTTGAGTCTGTACATTAGCTTAAACAACTTGAATTCTAAAACACTAATGAAAAACATGGTATACATAATTGGCTAATTAAAGTAATTTAATTAATGAGTGTTTTAGTGTTGTATCTACTACACTAATTTCCCCTCCAATACATGTAAATACCTTTTTCTATGTTTCTTTGAACATAGAGGGCAACACATAACAAATATAAAATCTTTCAGAGGTGAACATCACACATGAACCCTTTTTGCATCTTTTGCAGGAATAGCAAGGCTTCTTGCTTCTTAGTGCCAAATTTAGTAGGTTTACTGGTTGATGGAAATGCATATAAAAATTTTCAGTTTTTTATTTGTGGAGTCTGGGAGCATTGGCAACTACAGGGTGAAGAGTCCAACACTGGGAGCTTGTGAGAAGCTGCTGGACTTATGGAAAGCCTGGCTAAGGGCATTTCTAGATGTCAAGAGGCAAGATTTCTGTAAGGAAAGAAAGGATCAGAGAATCCTAGAACATCTTAGCTTGGAAGGAACCCACAAGGAAATTTTATGGAAGAGAACATTCCTTCAGCTGCAGCATTGGGCTAACATTTCTATGTGTTGTAAATGCAGAACTGTAAGTCTGAGGCTTTTTTATCACATAGCACTGGTCATGTTGTGATAAACAAATAGTATGGGTTCAGCCATTCAACCTCTCAATGTCTCGTTGGTTTAGAATTAGATGCTACTTCTGTTGTACTTTTTTTTTTTTCCCTTCAGTGAAACTTACTTTCATCTCCAGTTTCAAATTCAAACTTCTGGCTATAGCCGCTGTATCCTGCTGCCGTCCTGACTCTGATATGAAATATATACTTGGTGGCTGGCTTGAGACCTGTGATGATAACACTTGGAGCCTTGGACCTTGTGGAGGAATAGCTGAGCTGCTCATGCTCCTGAGGGACAAAAGAGGGAAGAAATGATATCAAGTTGAGTTGAACAATCTTTGCAAAAATGATATAACAGAACAGAAGCTCCATACTCTTCTCACGAATGTAAAATGTGTTTATAAAAGGAGGTGCAGGTATGGATTTCTGTACACTGGTTCCGTGCTATAGTCAGAATGTATGATATGGCCTTGGCTTTTAGATTTGAATTTTTTTTGTCTTTAACCCTGCATACAGACGTGTTTTTGTGACTTGGGTTAGCAACCAACCCAATCACAAACCAACATGAATTACTACAAGACTACATTCACAGAAGAATGGCAACTACAATGGAAGCTCATTATTTTTGCACAATGGACAAACTAGGAGGTCAGGAAACACTACCAAGCTGCAAAATAAAGAGGTGGGAGTATTCAAATACCCGCTACTCACTTCTACCCGCAGGTAGTGCCAAAATGCCGGCGCTATCGGTGGGTAGACCTGTGGGTAAAAGAAAATAGGAATTAACTTTTTCTTTAAAGCCTGTCAACTTCTAGCATGGTTCAGCTGCTTTGCTGCTGCTGAGCTCAAAATCTCTTTCCAGGTAGCTGTAATGTAGTCATATATGAAATTCACTTTGAAACTCTATAAGGAGAAATACTCTGTGCAAAAGTCCCCTGTTCATCTCCTGGCAGTTGATCCCAGGAGCTGCTGAGAATTCCTGAGTCTCACAGAGATCCCTGAGAATTATGGTCTCTGGGAATTACCACTGCAAACCAGCTGCTCCAGTATGGAGACCAGAAACATCAGTTTCGGTGCTTTAACTGAGTGCTGCTCTGCTAGGCAGGTCTTGGATGATGCTTTTACATGAGAGGATGACTTGGAAGAAGAACATTTATTCCCTGTCATTAGTTACTTGATAAACCAGGAATCTGTAATATTTTATGTGCTGTCTTAAGGCTAGGTTTGCTCCCTTGGAGCAGGATTTGTCTCCAAACTGAGAGGAATGTCCTTGGCATGTGCTTAACAGTCCAACTGTGACACCCACAGGGCACCATACAGGTTTATTAGACCATGCAGTGATATTAGAGCAGGTGTAAGTTATTCAAAGGGTGCTTCCAGCCTGTTCAGAAGGAAATCTAGTTCACAGAAGAGATATAACCAGGAGAGGATTAGGTTTCAGTCAGATTCTGTTGGACTTTTAACCCCTTCTCAGCAGTATGCATGCACTTTTTATAGAAAACAAACAGTATTTATAAAACACTCGGAGTCGACTTCAGCCATGCGTAACAAATCACATTAGCACAGGGCAGCAGGAGGATCACTATTCCCCCAGTAGGGTTACAGGGAGATGGCTGAGAAAACCAGATTAAAAAACAAACACACAGAAGCAACTTTATGATTCTGTTAAGGGAAGGAGCAGGAGGAAGGCAACAATGATCAATATTAAAAATAGCTGCATTTAACTTGTGCTTCAAACAGTGGAATAATTTGAGAAGATACAATAAGAGGAAGTATTGATTTTTTTCTACAGTCTGTTACCAAAATTTGAAGCTCTGAGGAGCATGTCTTTAAATTGAAATAGTAGGATAAAATGTACATGTAATCTTATGGATGGAGACTATAATTAATACACCATCTAATTACTTCTTTAAATATAAGACTTCTCCCGATTACTTGAAATGTTGTAACTTCACTTTGAACAGGTATAGTGGATTTTAGACATGCTTTAATGCATTTCAGAAACTACCTATTTTCTTTTGACAGAAAGCCTACTTGTTTGAGTGATAGGTGCTTTTTTTTCTGATTAAGCTTACATGACTTCCTCTGAAGGAAAGATCTTGGAAATCTTCACTGCAGGTTATGTAAACAGCAAAGGTTTGTTTTATACAGGTATTAGCATGATTCTGTCATGGCCCATAGATGGGCAGTGACTTTGTACTTTGGAATGCTCTGGAAATTTTTATTTAGGCTCTGCAAGCTAAGGAAGAGACCAGCACCTAAGGGATTTCACTGTACACTGTAATAGTTGCAAGCTGTTTCTTTTCCCTAGACTTACTGCTTGAAATCAAGTCCTAGCATTTAACAGTGTACTGCTTCTTCTCACCTGCTGGAGAGATTGCAGAAAAAACTGATGGAATTGTAAAAAGCAATAGGGTCTTTAAGAGGAGGATGGAAACTGAATTAAAAAAAAAAGAAAAAAAATCAGTGGAGATTCCCCAAATCCAGTGACAAGATTTACTCCCTGAAGCCTGCAGAAAAAAGCCAGCAGCAGCAAAAAGTGGGAATGACTTTTGGAAAAGAATCTGAGAGAGTGATAGGTGCTTCCAAATTGTTTCTTTTCCAAATTGTTTCCAAAAAGACTTTTGGAAAAGAAACAATCTATTATTTGTTATTACAGACTAAGTACTGCTTGTGTAAAACATACATTTGGGATACACTGCCTGCATAGCCAGGGGTGTGGACAGGCAGGCAGCAAATATAATTCATTATTTGTAATTGGTCAAAGACAATGAGAGTGACCAGGGCTGTGAATGTGACATTTAATCAACAAAATGGTCCTTCAACCTCCTGAGGGGCAGCCATTGCTGCCTGTCCCTTCTGGAAGGTCATTTTGGCCACCTCCAGGGGTTGTCTGGCTTGTTGGTTCCTCACCTCCTGCCTGGGGTTCCCTGAAGGAAGCCCTGAAGGGTCCCTTCTCCATGCCTCCCCTGTCCTTTCTTTCTGCAGCCTCTCTTGCCATCCAAACCACAGACTGAAAAATGATGTCTGGGAGTGCACAACCTCAAAAGTAATAGTGCTGTCATATGGGAAATGGGGCAAGATTTGTTACTGCATGTGAAATACTGGAAAGGGAACCTGTCACCTTGGTTTGAGAACAAGCTTCAGGAGCTGGAGGAAAAAGTTGCTCAAACTCAAGACAAAATGATTCATGGCCAGAAACTTCCCAAGGCTGGAATGTTTTGCAAAAAGAATTCAGCCTTTTAGGGCTGGATTAATACAGAGAACTCTCCAAAGAGTCAATGCTTTGCCATGATTCCATTCTCTTGACAAGTGATCTACCTGGAAAGCCAGAGCTTTCCGCAAAGATGCATGGAGCTCTCAAGGCTGGCCACTCCTTCTACCATGATGTTTCCCAGGAAGGCCAAAGATGGACTCAGAACAAAAAAAAAAAAAATAAAAAATCAATTCTAGTCTGCACAGAAGTATGGGATGCTTTGTATTATTCTTGCTATAGACCATATGAACTGACTTCTGCAGGGATTCTGTGTTCAAAAAGTCAATTTTAAACCGAGGGACCTAAATGTACTTCTTGGAATTTAGTGCATGCTTTTTCCAGATCCTGCTTTCATGTTATGGCAAAATATAGACATGTATCAACCCACTTATCATGCACCCTATTTCCATCAAACGAAAGCAGGATTTTGTGTGCTAGAAGGATCTATCCCCAGTGATAGGGGCCAGAAACAATGGGAAAGGCCATGGACTAATTTGTTTTCTGTATTTGGTAACTACAGAGGGCTACTACAAAATCTGCAAAATAAAACATAAGTTTAACTGATATGGCTGTACCTCCCATGGCACATAAGAAGTAAGGTAATATACAGCTGGCCACTATGTATGGTTCAGTGTTCACAAAAAGAAAAGGGACACAAGAAATGCTGTGATGCTTTACATCAGTATCAGAGCAGATTTGGTTGTCTTAAGATGGCAAAGGACTCACAAGAAGCAGCTCTGAGAACACAGGGGCTGAGGGGTTAAACATGAGTTAAAGGAATCTATCTAATATAATATACTCATATAACTATGAGACACAATCTGATATGGGGAAATTCATAAGATCTCTTTCATAGCCTACTGCAAATTTATCTTGGTGAAAATCTGTAATTAAAACATATATATAACCCAAATGCAAGCTATGCCAATGTTATTACACAATGTAATACTAAGTCTATGACTACCTAGCCAAGTTAAACAGAATTATATTATGAACTTTGAAAATGCTATCTCTGTTTCTAAGGAAATTGTATTTTTCTTATTGTTTGTGGGATTCTTCTTGTAAATGGATTCAGATCTGATTATGAGGGACAGTGTTCACAAAATCCTGACAGTTTGCTCTGTGCATGAACAGGAAAACCTTTCAAAATCAAATTATTTCCTGCAGCCACCTCTGCCTATCTGAATCTGTATCTACCCTGATTTTATACTTGGCTTTATAGACAGACAGACTGGCTGAGTGGAAGTCACAATGGTGCTAATGGTCTACGACTAGACAACCTCATTTAATGGAGTAGCACCATCAGAGGATAAATATTAATGAAGTGCTTTCTGCTTCTGCAGTGCAGCAGAGTAGCAGTCAATACCCAGATGTTCTATTATTGTGATTATTAGCACCATTTTTCTCATATACTTAAAAGAAAGGGGATTCCCCAATAACATTAACAATTTAAAATGGATAGATAACTATAAATAGATAACTATATTAAATAAATAAACTATCACATGCCACCTATCACATGTGAACGAACTGCTCTCTAATTTTATCCCCACCCCAGTACAGAGGAAAAGAGCACTGAAATGAAGACTTTGTGGACACATATAAGAAAAATATTGATAAAGGCTAACCAAAATGTGATGACCTTTAATCACTTTAGACTCCTATTGCAATCAAAGAGTTTACACTCTGATTTTATAGGTGAAAAAAACATTATTTATCTCAAAACCTTTAGTGAAAAAAAAAAATCAATAGAAATTAAAGCTGAAATGCCGAATTTTGCTTGTAGTGCTGAAATAACCTTTAAAAGATTAACTTTACCAGTAAAGCACAGATAAAATCCTGGCACTTTCAGGCATACAACATTTGTCACCATTAATATTTGAGTGTCTGAAAGAGACATGGCTCTAATAAAAATAGTATCAGTCCTTAGTTTAGCAATTTAAAAAGACAACCAAATATAATTTGCTATGATTTAGAATATATAATGGGAGCTATATACTCTTAGTCTAGCTTATTTCATGAATGACAATGG